TGCTTTAATCTGCCTTATTGCTTCTGGGTTCAGCTTTCTCCATTTCCATGTACAGCAGTCCATGCAATGTATCTTTGAAGTGGCTAGGTACATGTTACTTGTGGGTTATTCTTCTGCAAAGCAATCCCATTCCATCTTTTAATCATAATTTGGATTGGGAGGACCCCATCCTTCTATTCTATCCCTAACCCACTTTGTGGTTAGGAATTTGACCCAGGATTTGCTTTTTAAAATATTCATTCAGTCTCCAGTTCAGGACTAATCATCCTTTCTGATAGTTTTTTGGCTGGAAATATCAGAAATTATGAACTGCTAGAGTTGTCAATCTGCTGCCATCTTCCTTGGTGACATTTCAGTAGGAGAGAAAGTGACCAATGTATCAAGAAAAAATAAGTTTTGAGATACAAGTGCTCCATTTATATGATCTCATTTAATCCTTACAATAACCCATTAGATTATCTATTGTTATCTCCATTTTGCTGATGAGAAAAGTGAACTCCAGAGAAATTAATATTTTAACTTACACATAACTGTTCCAGTTAGAATTCTATTTTAGATGCAAGTAATATTAGCTTATAAAAATCACTTTCTGAAGTATCTTCACAATATTAATTCTTTCCACCCAAGAATAAGTTTGTTATGAATATTCCACATCAATATGCAAAAACCAGGTTTTAAGAATGTGCATAATTATTTACTAACACCGTTGAACAAACAGGACACATGTTTGTATAAAAGATTATTGATGGTGGTTGTTGGCAGATTTATTAAATGGCTCTGAATGCTGTTGATGCTGATTAATTATGTTAGGACAATGCTTCTCAAAATTTAATGTGAAAAGGAATCATTTGGAATCTTGTTTAAGTGCAGCCGTTGATTTAGTAGGACTGGGATGGAGCCTGAAATTCTGCATTTTAACATGTTCCAAAGTGATGCTCAGGCTGCTGGTCCCTGCAGTATTCTTTGAGAAACAAAGGATTAGAATATCAGTGTAAGATCTATTTATTGCACCAATATCCCGGTAGCCTTTTGAAAGACTGTAGCCTAAATCATACCCAATTGAATATCACACAAAATTCAATGACCTTTAAAAGAAAAAATCTACATCAGGGTTGGTGCTCATGTGATTACTTTAAGGGTTAGATACCTACTGTGCTGTCAATCTGGGGACAGATTGGTGAAAACTTTTGTAACTCTTATGGAATTCTGGGTGATAAATAAGTACTTACAGAATAGTAAATTGAAGCACTGGTGTTAGGGAGGTTCCAGGAAGAACACAAATGATGGAAATGAAGAATCTGTAGAAATATTGCTACTTAAGAAGTAAAGTTTTCCCAAATGTCAAACATGATACACAAAACATCAGAAATAAATGACTCTTGCTATTCAAGTATAGAACCATCGTTGGTAATAGAAATCTTCACTTACATTTTTAAACAGTAAGTTTTTCTTTTTTAAACACAGAGAGAGTTTTATATCTCTCCCTATCTTTCAAGCTGGTTTCTCTAAAAAATAACAATTCATTTTATCAGTCTGTAAATAAACTCACTTCGGGGTTGAGAACAGTGTGCATTTCTGAAAAGCTGAATACCCTGGAGTCCCTCTGCTAAATATGTCATGAGAAAAAATATTCAGTGAGACTAGGTACATAATAAAATTAAATTTAATGTTTCATGAGAATTTACAAAATTGAAGTTTTAAAATAGTTTTATACTGGGAAAAGCTATATTCTTAAAAACAGTAACATTCTCCTTGTAACTAAGCCCAAAGGATAGTGATATTTCTTTTGTCTTTTGGGCAACATTATCAGTATGAGGCCTTGGGGTTAAGAAAATAGAAGGTGGTACAAAATAATGATTTTATTGACTTTTGTGAAATGTGAAGATAATTTTTCATATGAATAGGACTGATGGCAGTTTTGAAGATTATAGTGAACATGTAAGCAAATGAGATTAATTTAAATTGAGCTGAGAGAAGTAGCTAGCTGGGCAATCCTGAATTATTTCTAATATTTCAAAAGAGCCTAAAGGAAAATCTTTGGTGATTAGGCAATAGAGGCTTATTATAATATTATGGCTTCTTAATTTTGACTGGTATTATAGAATTTAATGAGATAACACTGGTTATCTGAAGCCAAATTAAAATACTGATTGGGCTTTGTTTAAAAATGAGATAAATTATTCATTGTAATGTGAGAGAATAGATCTCTCAAACTATTGAATTGATGTGGACTTGGAATAATGAAAAGACTCTTTTGAAAGTTGAAAAGTTTGGGGGCTATTATTAAAAATCAAGTATAGTTGTCTAACCAATGTACTGTATACTTGAAACTAATTTAAATAAATAAATATATTAAAAAAATAAGTATATTAGTTCTTGGGAGATACCTCTTGGACCAATGAACTTATTTGTAGTCAGTCAGCAAATATTTAATGAGCATCTCCATGTGCCAGACACTGGGCTTGACATTTTGGGGATATAATAATGAAAAAGTCATGGTCATTGTCCTTATGAAACTTCTGGAAGGAAAGGGAAACATTAGAGAAAGAAATAACTAGTCGCACAAAATGTTAACGTAAATTATTCTGGAGGTTTTTAATGCTAAAAAATGTTAATGTACTTTATTTCCTTATTCATATATTTAATTTAAAATATAGGTTCTGAAGAGATACCAACAAATAATTATCCATGACTGACAGAGGCAGTGAATGACCCTTGGTGCCTGTATGATGCACATCTTTTGGGTTGGTTCTTACCCTAGATCTAGATCTCTGTAGTTTTCTCCTTGAGGTGTATTTCCTGTAAGTGGATCTCGTAAAAGAGTTAGTGTCTCAGACAATTGGTGAATTGAATTTTTCACCAAAAGAGCATTTATTGTGTTTAAGTTTTAAATTCTTGACCCAGTTAGTTTCCATTTTTGGGTTTAGAGTTCAAGCTCATGCACTTCTGCAATGAACAGCTGCTTACTACTTGCATTTGATACCTTGTTTTATGAATCCTATTTTGATTTACTTTTCTCATCATTTGTTCATCTTGGTTGTCATAGAGAGTCATAAATAACTTCTATGTGTTTATTCTGGATACCTTTTCTTCTATCTTTTTTCAAACTACTCAGCCATTTTTACATTTCTTTATATACTTAATATTGATTATGTAATAAACTTTCAGAAACACAAATATTATTTAAGTAAACTAATGCTCAGAACAAGTCACATCTACTAAATTCTTTGATATGTAGTATTTTAATTTCAGAATTGGTGATGCATATTTGATGTTATGTATTGTAGAACCTCAAGGATAATTGAAAGAGTTCTAATAATTTTTTTTATTAAAGTAGTTGACATACAATATTTTATTAGTTTCAAGTGTATAACATAGTGATTCAACATTTATATACCATACAATGAGATTAGAGATCATTTTCTTCAGTAATAGAAATCTGGATTGAACTATGAACACTAGAGTTTTTGAGAACGTCAAGACAACAGTTAAGCATTGCGCTCTTTCCATGACCACACACACAGAAAAGTGAATATTTCCATAGCATTTACCATAGTACTAAAGTTAAATCAAATTTATTTAGTTGAATTTTATGTCTGCTTCCTAAAATGTTCAGAAATTTCCTATAAAGTAGAAAATTTTACTGTAATAATTCAAGGACTGATTTGTAGGCTAAAGTTGAATGTTATGGGAAAATTCATTTGTTAGAATGTTTGTGGTAGAAAAACCTGTGTTTGTTCATTTTAATTTGTAAGTTATGTTTGCCATAATAGGTTAGTTTTAAACATCAACTTCGTGATAATTAACTCTTTGATCTTATTTACTACATTTAAATGAATTCAACTATTTGAAAAGGCTATGAGGATTTTTCTCTACATAAAAAAAAAAAAAAAATCCCTACTTTTAACACTTATTTTACAAGTAAGTAAGTGACAGTGTAATTTTAATTTGTAAAAAAAAATTTTTTAGGCAAGGCAACCCTTGGTTGACCTCACAGATTGCAAGGACCATGACAGTTTACAATCCCTTATTTTTTTATTTTTTACACCTACAGCACCTGGTCTTCCTAGGTGTTCTCCCATTCAAGTACTAACCAGGCCCGACCCTGCTTAGCTTCCAGGATCAGATGGGATCAGGCTTGTTCAGGGTGGCATGGCCATAGATGACAGTGTAATTTAAAAACATACGTAGAATCTTAATTTTCTGAGAAACTGTCAGCATTTTCAAATTAAGGTGAGGTTATCCTATGATTATTAAATGCTCAGGTATACTTTTGCTGAATGTAAATATATAAATATTACCTTTAGCTGCTTAGAATTTTTTTACTTATTAGTCTACACAAACACACAGAGCATAAGTGTGACTGATGTTATAGACAAAAATTAGAACATACAAAAAGATTGGATCACTTGGGACTTAATCTAGTCTGCGTACATCAAAATAAATTGTTTTCTTAGTGAGCAGGATGCTAAGGCACTGAAACACAAGTTAACATTTAATTGGGAAACAGGCTGTTGAAAACAGGCTGAGGCAGGAAGCCAGGATGGGAGCACCTGGGTTGTGAAAATGAAAAAGCATAATGGGAAACATTTTGAGGTTAAATTGGCTTCTTCACAGCCAAGCACATGCTGTGGTCTTTACTTGGAACATTCTTCTTCCTCCTGCTACTCCCTACATTTTCCTCTTCCTTTTATGGATGACTTTTTCTTTTTATCCTTTGATCTCAGGTCTAATGTCTTCTTATCAGAACTGTTCTTACTTTAAAGTCACTTGTCTCTCCCAAGTAACTCTCAGAACCTTGTTTGTTTTTGTCATAGCACTTATCACAATTTTCAATCATTTATTTGTTTGCCTATCTGTCTCCCTTCCACATTGCCCAACTCTATTTCATTTCTAGTCTCTAAACTCTGTGAGGAACCATTGTCTGTTCCGGGGCCTACTAAAGTTCCTGGCACACAGTAGATACTCTGTGGAGATCTGTTCTTCCTTATTGCTTTCAGGTAGCAATACAGGTAAGTCATTTCTGATACATAAGTATCAAGCAGACTTTCAAAACATTTTTATATAGGAAGGTCTGCAGATCCTTTTTCATCTTTTCAACCACATACTGCTCCCTGTCCCATTTCAGGCTTTCCTATCAATTTAAAATAGAATATATATATATATTTTTGGGGGGAGTTCTTTCTATATCTCTCTATATATAGAATATATATATATATTTGGGGGGAGTTCTTTTAATATTTACTATTAAAAGAACTTTCATAAGTCACTGGAATTGTGCTTCATAGTTTCAAACAGAATTCGCTTTCTCCGGTGATGACATAATGACTAAAAGGCAAGTCACTTTCTATCTCTAGAGTTTTATCAAAGCTTGCTGCACCTCTAATCTACCACTCTATACCGAGCCTTGTTTAGCCTAGGGCAATTTGCTGGCTGCTTTCATTGTCAGTTCAGTGTCCCCTGAAGACTTATAATTCTATAATTAATTTCTAATTTATCATTAGGATGTGTGTTTATTATTCAGAAATCGTTCACTGAGTGTAGATGAGTAGGGAGCTTTGTACAGGGGGTCACTCTTGGGACATAAAGATTGAAGGTGATATCATCCTTGTATTCAAGTTGATTAAAAACTAGCTAGGAAGACTACGTATTCATATATGAAAAAATGAAAGACAATTACAATTTATTTAAAACAGTAAAAGTTTAGAAACAATGCAAATGTGTAAGAAAGGGAGAATAGTTGAGTAAACTCTGATATATCTACACATTGAAATTAAACTTTAAATTATTACTAACAATAACCTAATGTGTAATTATATTATAAAGTTAAGTATGGGATAAAGTCAGGATTCAAAACATCAGAAATTTAAATTGTAGACCTCTTTTTCATGCTTTATTTTTCTCTGTAGCAATGAATGCCATCTAACATGCTGTATAATATGCTTATTTATTTATTATATGTTTCTTTCCATTAGAAGATAAGCACCATGGTGGCAAAGATTTTTTATTTTATCTAGAACGGTGCCTGATACATGGATGGTGGGTATTCAGTAAATATTAAATGAATAAATGTATGTTTAGAATATAGAAGAGAATAATGAAATAATAGAAAAAAATCTATCAGTGATGGTTGTCTTTGGGTGTGGGTTTATGGGAGATGTTAGGTTTCAAATTTATATTTTCTTGTGAAGTTTTGTGTAATAAATATGCATTGCTTTTGTAATGAGACACATGGTCTCTCTTTCTCTCCACATATACATATACATATATATATATAGACTGGATAGGAATACAGCAAAAAAGTAGCTTTCTTCGAATGATAGACATTTTAGTAAATTTAAAAAAATTGTATATTTTATTAATAGAATGAAATAAAAATTTATGAGTTTTTAATTCTTTAAAAAACAGGAAAAGATCTTTCATTTGTGGTGGTAGTGGTTTGAATCAGAATATAGAGAACACATAAAAAATAAAAACTTCCTTTCACGTTACTTATACTCAACGTGAACATTCATCAAAAAAAAAAAAAAAAAGGAAAGAAAATTAGACAATTATAGGGCTTAAACTATATTTTGTTTGTTAGAGATAATGTGTACATTGCAGTTTATACACTAAAGATACCCAAATAATTTAGACAGAAGGGAAAACAGAAGACATTAGATTGCTTTGCGATTCAAAAATTTGTGCTTTATCCTTACTTTGACACTTTGATACATAAAGCCTTTGAAACACCAAATGTGTTTAAAAGGTTTGAAATCAATCCTTGGAAGTTCAAGTTTTAAGATGGAATGCTTTATCTAGCAAAAGATGATAAAAAAAAAAAAAAGAATTCCCCTGATAATAAAACAGAAAACACCAGGGGAAAAAGGTACACA